CAAGAACATGGCTTGTGCAACTTTGGATGGTTCTTCGGATGCAATATACTTTGATGTGTACCTCATTTGTGACCAGTATGAGTCTCATCGACCAGATTTCAGTTATTTTATAGAGAACATTTGGACTTTAATGAATAGTAGAAATGAATGTCGAATATTGTTTAAGTACCCCGGCGATATAAAGGACCTAAAATGGCATCAATGTTTCAATGATCTCATCGACTCGTGCCAAGCTTCCTTTACTATTTTGGCGGCAGATGACTTTAATCATACGCATTATGACGTCGTTTCAGAATGTGACAGCGGGCGTCAGTCACGTGTCAAAGAAAAGAAAATGTATTCAAATGTTTTCTGTTATGTTTGTAAGAAGAGTTATTTTCGTCAAGACCTTACGTGCGCTATTAGTGAAATGACCAGGGCTCCTACAAACGGATATACAATCCTTATAGATACCGATTTTATTTCAAACTTCAATGCAAAAAGGAAAACATCGACAGCTTGTCAAGCCGAGCATGTATGTAAAATTAAATTATAGTTGTCAATGTCGTAAATATATAATGTTCGGGTCAACAAACACAGTTTTGCAAGTACATGTGTACATGAGCCGGATTTTTTAAATTATTAGTCAATAAAATAGGAAAAAATAAGAATCCCTAAAGAAAGCCCAAAACGGCAAAATTGAATTTGCTGCAGGCTCGGTTTGAATGAGCCTGTTCATACAGATCTTCCTTGTTTACCTTCTTTTTATGTTCTTTACGGTTACGGTCTGTACAAAGTTTAATAACAATATCTGATTCCTAACTATAGTTATCGACCGGAAACCATTGTTTTACCTTGATCCTAGGGGCCCAAAAAGCAAACCCAAGCAAGGTTTTCACATACACTTGCGATATACTAAGTTTGAAAAGATTATCTCATTCTTAGCTTTAATTATTGACCTGAACCATTTCTCTATTTTTAGTAACAGTGACCTTGGCCAGAACGTCACAGGGCTTTAAAGCAATTCCAAGCAAAGTCTCGACATAAGCTTGCTAAAGTCCAATTTTTATTACAATATCCCATAAAAACTATAGTTATTGACTGGAAATCATTTTCTGTTTTTTAGTATCAGAGACCTTGACCCAAGGGTACCAAAGGCAATCCCTAGCAATGTTTTTACATGAGCTTGCAACACAAGAAGTTTCTTGAAATATCCTATTCGTAACCCTACTTATAGACCACAAACCGTTTTTATATTTTAGTAACAAAAATGGCCTTGACCTTGACCCAAGGAAGCTAAAAGCAATCCCAAGCAAGTTGTGGACATAAAATTGGTATATACTTAGCTGAAAATAACAGAAATAAAATATTTTACGACTATATAAGTAAATCCTATAATTGATATTTTCCCGCGTATTACAGTCGTTGAAACCGAACGTAAATACTTAACATCAGTTGAATTACAGAAAATGAGACATGTTTAATTTATTTTCCCATGACTCTCAGCTGCATGTTTTATATGATGAATGCGAAAAAAAACTGAACACTACTATTTTATTATTATTTTCAGAATAACAAATGCCGACCAGTTATCTGTCCCTCCGGACAATTATACGATCATCTTGGTCAATGTATTTACCTTAGTCAAATGTGGTTCGTCCAAATGTATCGGATTGTAATAAAACTTACATCTAAATTTCCAATAAATGAAACAGAACTGAAGCTTATAAGACACAGTTTATTGGAGGCAGATTTTGTATTGAATTCCCCATGGCCAAAACAATGGTATATCAAAGAGGTCTACTCTCCGCTGTCGATCTTGGACCAGGAATATTTTTATTTACTCATTATCATTGAAAACGAACGTTTAAAAGTCCGACCGCATGTATTAAAGAAGACAATTGAGAAACGGATATATCAAGAGTGGACGTTAGAGCTTGCCAACAAATCATTTGCCTTCATGTCCGACTTTAATCCCTTCTATTTAACGTTTGATTATGAGGAAAACAATGAACTTTTCACCAATCAAACTCAGAAAACATTTTACTCACAATACAGAGAGGTCTACAATATTATATCACATTTACCGAAGTCCATCTTGTCTGTCACAAAGTTGTTTTTGTGTAACCAAATCGAGTTAACATCGAATGAATTTCTTCTTAATTCAATGATGAATATTCTGTTTAACAATAGAACAAACGAGTACCTGTTCGGAAACGATTTTCTGCTTTCTACTTCGACAAGCGGTATGGAAACTGCAAAAGTGTGCATCAAAGACTCTGGATTTAAAGAGTTGAATGACCAGTCTGTAAACTCGTCTGTTGGATTGCATGATGGTTTATTTGATGTATTAACCCTTTGTATGCTGGGACAACTGTATCGTCTGTAGAAATGTCGTCTGATTTTTTTATTATTTTTTTTTTCAATTTTCTCGAAATCACACAAAAATAATAGGTGACTGTGGTTGGCATATTACCTGACAAGGTGCTAAGGTATTAGGCGTCTGTTCTGGGTTATTCTGATCGTTCTTAAGATCAGCAGACATTTATTGGTGTCGTTGTTGTTGTTGTTGTTGTTGTTCGTCTTCTTTTGTTGTTGATTTTTAGTCCGTTTATAATTTGTAAAAAATTATACAATGATCGTTTCTTGAAAAACATATTTGAAGTTTCATCTAGGGAAACACGAAACGTGTTAAATGCCTGCGTTTGCATCCGGCTTTTGCTTTAATATTAGTATCTCACTCAGGACGGTGCCTTTCAATGACGTACACGTACCAAGGGAATGAGAGATTTACAAAGATGGTTTCTTTTACATATCTTCATGTGAAACAAAAGACCGTAAAACACATCAAGGCGTTCGGTACATAATTTGCACATAACTTGATAAAAAAATTTAGATTTATGAGTGTAAGCCATTTTATTCAGCAAATTACATTTTGTTCACTCAGACTAAAGTTTAGATCTACTTTTTTCTTTAATAATTATGTAACATTTTCTAAGGAGCTGATTTTAATTATCGATACATTGCTTTTTGATTGAAATGTCTAGTTTTACTGCTTTGCCAATCAAATCAACAGATATATGTAAACTTTATATTAGTACTTTATTTTTCACACAACTACTTGCAGTTATTATTATGCGAGAGCATTGGCTTACCGCTTCTATATATAGTAAGATGACTTAATTAACGTGTATTTGCTTAATATTTTACTTGGATAAAAAGTATTTAAAAGTGATGTTTATATTGTCAAACTTATTTCCTACGTTAATGTTGAAATTTCAAATATAAACAATTTCCTAACAGATCAGAAAGTTCCTGTGCATCTGGGATATTGTATGAATTGCATGAATTGTGTAAGCATGCAGGGTCTTTCAAATATTTCAAACATTTCCTCTTTAATAAACCTGTCTCTAAAAATAAGGAACGATTAAGTCACTTTTTGGTTAAATTATTATTCCGGCCTTTTTAACGTTTACGAGGATTGATAAAAAAAGTTCTCGGCCCGATGTACTTCCGGTAGTCAGAGAACCCAACTAATTGTCTTACTTTTCAATATAATCGCCCTCTACACTTTGCCCACCTGTGCTCAAACTAGTTTGACCCTTCAAAATAGAACTCTCAATTTTGGTCCTCAAAGAACTCATAGACCGCCTTCATGACACCTTCATTGCTTTCAAAACGTCTACCACGAAGCTTGGTTTTCAGTTTCGGAAACAGGTAGAAGTCAGAGGTGGTTAAGTCCGGAGAATTTCGGGGATGGGGAAGAATTTCAAAGCCGCAATCAGTTGCAGCAGCCATCGCAACTTGGGATGTGTGAGCTGGCGCATTGTCGTGCAGCAGCAGAGCGCCTTGAGTCAGTTTGCCACTCCTTTTACGCGCGATTTCTTAACGCAGACGTCTTAGTTCATCTGCATAGTACGTACCGTTTATGGTACGACCTTGCTCAAGATAGTCAATCATGATTATCTCCTGACTATCCTTAAAAAATTGAAGCCATCATCTTCCCTGCTGATGGCACCCTTTTAAATTTCTTCGAGTGGGTGAGCCAGGATGTTTGAACCACTGCATGCTCTATTTTTTTTATTCTGGATCGAAGTGATGGACCCATGTTTTATACTGAGTTACGATCTGGTAGATAAAAATCAGGTTCATCCTCGTAGCGAGACAAAAATATCTTGAAATTCAGCAGCCCATTTTTTCACAGTGCTATAGGAAGAGGGCTCCTTCCCAAGTGTATCCATGAAATCTTCATGGATTTCCTTGGGGGACATCACTTTCTAACAGATGTACTTAATGACGGCTCTGATTTCAACTTGCTTCATTTGGTCTAAATGAAACACCCCTCTACTGATCAAAATGTGTTTTATGTTACTAAATCTGTGTAAAACCGCGTGTATTAAACTCGGTCAGTAATCTTCAGTAAGGTATCGGTATCGTGTGTAAATGTCAGTGTAGTGGCTAGAAGTATATCGGGCCGAGAACTTTTTGATCATACCTCGTACTTTGGTTAATAAATTTAAGAGAATTATATAAATAATAACTTTCAGCACTCGTGAAATATACCTTTTGGTGAAGTATATTCCGATCGTATACTGAACTAAACAATTATTTTTATAGACGTTAAAATATGATTTATTTTTTCAAAACAGCTTGTATTAAATTTTAATGATGTATATGATAAGTATATGTGCTGGGATTGACAAATATAGGATAGATTTTATTTGGATTGTATGGCATTTGAAGCTCCACACCCAAAGTGTCTGTGAAAAATATATGGTCACCCATTGATATTTATTTATTTATTTATTTATTTATTTTTATTTATTTATTTATTTATTTATTTATTTATTTATTTATTTATTTATTTATTTATTTATTATCCATCATGTGAACATTTTTCCGCAAAAAGAAACTCTTTCCGTTGACTAAGGCGATTTCACTTTTTAAAAAACTGTACGGAAACAGTCGGAATCTTACGGTTCCACAAATTAGCTTTTTCATTGGATATTCTACTATTCGGCAATTTCCGTTGGCATTGACGTTTCCTGGATCCAATTGTTTACATCGAGAAATTTCCACTAAAGTATAAAACGCAATTCCGTCTTATTTAAGAGTAAACGTAACATATTTAAGTTTGCAGAAGTTTTGCATCAGGTTGTCTAAAATGTTTGGCAGGTCAATGTTTCGTGACATGGACCAAGATCCATTCTTTGCGTAAGTGTAAATTATTCATTTTTGTCAGATCTGATTTCGTTAACTTTCTGTTTCTAAAGCCATAAATAAGGACTTAATGTGGGTCTCTTGATTTTGTGAATCTAACATGTGTTAGATAATACTTAAAGCTGCTTTCCCACACCAAACGGGTCTACAAACATATTTGTTTACATTATCATCTGTTTACATTTATTCAATATGCATAGAAATAAAATGTGCAGTTCCCATGATAAAAACTGTGACATACAGTACAGTTTACACTATCTTTTACTTGACAAAGATTTAAACGCCTCTATTATCACACCTGTTAACATGCAGCGAGTAGGACAGCTTGATGCAGGTAGAATTCTATGGTACAAATTGTACATGTAAGTTTTTTATCCTTGCTGCACAATGAATCATATTGTCAATCACAGGAACTTGAAATTCTATCACTATTAACGATGATATGCAAAATATACTCCATATATACTATAATTTATAGTATATTGGGGCTATATTTGGATATTATCATTAATATTGGTTATTTGATAGAATTTCAAGTTCCTGTGTTGTCAATATGATTCATTGTGCAGCAAGGATAAAAAACTTACATGTACAAGCGCAAAATACAGTAACTCAGTTTCTATGATATCATGGGTTCTATGATACGTTTTCTGTAACTGCATGTGAAAGCAGAGGTTGAAGTTTGTCTACACAGGGATTTTTTAGGCTTATTTTATAGCTGATATTCGGTCATATTCCCAATTGAAAATAGTATTATCAGACAGTCACTATATTATTTTCCTAGCTTAAGGTCTTCAGCGTACCCTTTTATATACTATGACATGACATGAACGCTGAAGACATGACGTGAACGCTGAAGACAGACCCGAGGGAAAGTCCACCAATAATTGTGCCAGGAATCTGACACACTCGTATTCACTAATCGAACATGCCATGAAGTATTATATTGGGTATAGTGAAGCATACCTTGATAAACCTATATACATTGTATAATCTGTTGATAAGCCAAGAATTGACAAATAAAAATCTAAGTACGAACATAAACTACCTAATAGTTTCCGGCAGGTAAAAAATTCAGCATTTAGCCACCATATTGCCAAAATGTTTGACCATATGATTACGAGATTGACCATCACGAACCCATGTGCTTCCATCATTTTTATAAATAACTTATTTTAAAGATGTTGAAAAAGGTGATTACTGACTTTTCTATTCAGTATAATCATAATTAAGTACTTAAAAATTAATGAAAATAAATAAAAACATTATCTTGAATTATAAATATAGAAATCATGTCAACAAAGATGTTCTAAATATAGTACAAGACTCTACTCTAATCGGTTCCCGCGAATGACGTCATACGAGGTCTCGCGAAGCACCCAAATATCATGGCCGACTGTAGTCGGCGTAATTGATGTTTTACAGTTAAATAGGCAATTTTAATGACGGTATTAATATTTTGATACTTTAAATGGTATAGAACGATCTTAAAATAATTGTTTTATTGCAAAATGCACAAGAATTGATTGGGACAAGGGTATTTGCAAGTGAAAAATAAGGTTAAATCAACTTATGTTATTCTGGTTAAGTTTCGTAACGGGTCTAATCCAAAACTTTAATGCTGCATCAGATGAAAAACAAAAATATTAAAAAGTGGCTTATAAAGTTTTGGAAGAACTATTATTTTCCCAATCCACAGAGAGAAAAAAATCCCAATTGAAAATTACAAAATAAAAATATTGAATAACAAATTTTAAAATCTTTGAAAATGGGGGCTTCTTCACTGTTAGGGTGCTTAAATGTTTGAAGATGCTATCATAGACAGTGATTCTTTGCATTCAATGCAAAATTGAAACATTTTTCCGATCGTTTAACCAATCATCGCTCAGAAATTCCCAATTCCATGGGTATGGGTCATGTTCCCAAAATCCTAGAAAAAAACCCTGTTTACATGTCAGTGTTAGTTCTATAATGCTTTTAATGAATAGATTTGAGCCGTGTCATGACAAAACCAACATAATGGGTTTGCGACCAGCATAGATCCAGACCATCCTGTGCATCTGCGCAGTCTAATCAGGATCCATGCTGTTCGCTTACAAACCCTATAACAAATAGAGAAACCGATAGCGAACAGCATGGATCTGGTCAGACTGCGAGGATGCGCAGGCTGGTCTGGATCCATGCTGGTCGCAAACCCATTATGTTGGTTTTGTCGTGACACAGCTCATTTTATTATTAATGATTTTTCTAGAGGGTTCAATGACCATATGAGACAGGCAGATGGATTGTTCCGTGACCCGTTTCGTGGAATGGGGATGGGCATGTTGGAAGATGGACGGGGACAAGACAGAGGGAACCGAGCCAGGGGTGACAGGGAACGTGGAAATGAAGTTGCCCCTTTTGGAGAATTTGGCATGGGGTTTGGAAACATGTTTGGAAATATGGACAAAATGATGAGTGACATGAATAGGGCATTTGTAAGTTACATGTATTTTATTTAAAGGCACATTATGCTTCAGAAAAAATATATTTTTACTCCTTTAGAAATGGCTAACATGAACATTATGAATTTTAAATGATGGTTTTAGAGAAATGTTAGATGCTTGTTAGTACCTAAAAAAAATTGCTTGTTACCCAAAAAAAATGTGAAATCATTTGTCTTAACAGTAGCATAGTAGTAATTTGACCTCCATACAAAATACAAATTCACTATAACTGTACTTACTGCCAAAAAGCAACAAATGAAAAAAAAGCATTTCTGAAGTATAGTGGGCCTTTAATTATTTGCAGTAATGTTCATAGAAATACACAGTTTGATACAAATTAGCCGCGTCATGACAAAACCAACATAGTGGGTGTGCGACCAGCATGGATCCATACCAGCCTGCGCATCCGCGCAGTCTGATCAGGATCCATGCTGTTGCTATCAGTTTCTCTACTTGTAATAGAGTTGGTAAGCGAACAGCATGGATCCTGATCAGACTGCGCGGATGCGCAGGCTGGTCTGGATCCATGCTGGTCGCAAACCCATTATGTTGGTTTTGTTATGACGCGGCTCAAATTATGTTCCTTTCAATTATGACTTTTTTTTACATGATTACCAGTTAAAAAATGTATAATAGATATTAAGACAATATGCAACAAGTCAACTTCTTCCATAACCAAACCATAAATGTACTAATTTTGAGCTTCTTATCTTATGAAAACATACTTGCAAATAAAATTTATATGAAAGTTTTCAGCAGAGACCAATCTATTATTTAAGAAATAATATATCCCAAACAGTGATTTTATTGCTAAATAAAATCACTGTTTGGAGTTCGGATGTGAGAAATTATATCCTTTGGGCTACGCCCTCGTGATATAATGATGGGCGTCCGAACAACAATAAGTTATTTTATCCAGCAATAAAATCACTGATTTGGATATATTATATCAATTCTTTCATTAAAATCATTATATCAACAAATTAAATGCTGCCGTTCCTGGTATCAAGCTAAATTGCGCCTGATCTGTTTCAGTACTTATTTTCAGCATGTCTGATTTTTAATGGTTATGTCATTATGGTGAATGGTGACGTCACATGTCTAAATATAGAATGTCAGCAGTGGTTTTATTGCATAATAACACACACTTTTGGTCCTTCTATGTTCAATAGGGAAAATTGCGTGTTGTGTTACAATATGTACTAGTAATATCTGTAAAGGCTTTAGTCTTATCACACCGAAATTGACCTTGACCTTCAGTTTTCTTTCATCTTAGAATGTAATTTACCATGAATGTAATTTAAATTGAATTGTTTCAGGCACATGCCAGTGAGAGTGGAAATGGTCAGTCATTCCAACAGTCATCATTCATGTCGTACCAGAAGTCCGGAGAGGGTCCTCCGAAGGTTTACCAAGCTTCTACAGCAACCAGATCTGGCCCTGGAGGGGTAATGTATCTTTTTATTCTAATCTTGATCAATAGCTATTGACAAAACATGTGAGATATTTCTGACTGTCACCTAATTCATGTTGAATTTGATGTATTCTTAGACAAAAGAACACTTGTGACAAAATTGAATAATTGACTTTTGAATGACCTTGACAATGACAAAACTGAATAATTGACTTTTGAATGACCTTGACATTCAAGGTCATATTAAAATAAGCTTAAATTGTCATTTTTTCCTTAGTAATTATTATTAATTATGATAGTGAGATTTGATTCATACCAGCACAAAGATTAATAGAATCTATCATTGGGTTAGATAGAGGATAGGGAAATCCCAACCCGAGGGTGATCGGTTCCATCGGGAACGAGCCTTGGCGAGTTCCCGATGGAACCGATTGTCCGAGGGTTGGGATTTCCCTATCCTCTATCTAACCCAATGGTTGATTATTTTTCTCACTCACCTGAACACACAAATATCAGTGAATCTACTTGCTACGCCCATTGCAACGTACCTAGTTTTGAAAAGGGGGCGGGGCTTAGGCGCCTGACTTTCTATGATTAAAAAGCATTATGTACGTCCGCAAAAAATTCTTCTGACCAAGTTTATGTGTGAAAAATTTAATGAAAATAAATTCATATGAGACCCCTCATGAAAAAGCAAGGTTATCATGATGAAACACATCGATATTAAAAACGGAAAGTGCCATAATATAAGTGTTTATAAGGAATTCAATCCATACTTCAATGGTTGACAAAAAAGCGTTTACCGTTTGCAAAGATTTTTCTACTTTTTCGGTTATTTTGGCCGAATATTCAATTAAAATTTATCAAAATGAGATTCGTCATCAAAAAGCATCGTTATCATAACAAAAAACATGAATGTTTTTCAGACAAAGTGTCATAATATCCGATTTTACGAAGAACGTTTCGATATTTTAAAGTGTGCTATTTTTAGTAACAGATCGTTATTGGAAAGGGCGGATCTAGGTAGAGTAGGACTCATGGCAGTGTGAAAGTTAATATCAATCTATTTTGATTCCGTAGACAATTTAATAGATTAGCTTACAAATTTTTAATACATTTTGACCTTTTGACGTTTAATTTTTGTTAAAATAGGAGTGAATCGCGTATTATTTAGAACTGCTGCACGTTGAGTGTGAGATAAGCCCATGTGAGATTAATAGAATCTATCATTGGGTTAGATAGAGGATAGGGAAATCCCAACCCGAGGGTGATCGGTTCCATCGGGAACGAGCCTTGGCGAGTTCCCGATGGAACCGATTGCCCGAGGGTTGGGATTTCCCTATCCTCTATCTAACCCAATGGTTGATTATTTTTCTCACTCACCTGAACACACAAATATCAGTGAATCTACTTGCTACGCCCATTACAACGTACCTAGTTTTGAAAAGGGGGCGGGGCTTAGGCGCCTGACTTTCTATGATTAAAAAGCATTATGTACGTCCGCAAAAAATTCTTCTGACCAAGTTTATGTGTGAAAAATTTAATGAAAATAAATTCATATGAGACCCCTCATGAAAGAGCAAGGTTATCATGATGAAACACATCGATATTAAAAACGGAAAGTGCCATAATATAAGTGTTTATAAGGAATTCAGTCCATACTTCAATGGTTGACAAAAAAGCGTTTACCGTTTGCAAAGATTTTTCTACTTTTTCGGTTATTTTGGCCGAATATTCAATTAAAATATATCAAAATGAGATTCCTCATCAAAAAGCATCGTTATCATAACAAAAAACATGAATGTTTTTCAGGCAAAGTGTCATAATATCCGATTTTACGAAGAACGTTTCGATATTTTAAAGTGTGCTATTTTTAGTAACAGATCGTTATTGGAAAGGGCGGATCTAGGTAGAGTAGGACTCATTGCAGTGTGAAAGTTAATATCAATCTATTTTGATTCCGTAGACAATTTAATATATTAGCTTACAAATTTTTAATACATTTTGACCTTTTGACGTTTAATTTTTGTTAAAATAGGAGTGAATCGCGTATTTTTTAGAACTGCTGCACGTTGAGTGTGAGATAAGCCCATGTGAGATAAGATTTTCCAACACCGCTATTTTTAGTAACATTTAAGGATTTTTCTATCTGGTTAGTGAGAAAAGATTTTCCAACACCGCTATTTTTAGTAACATTTAAGGATTTTTCTATCTGGTTAGTGAGAATACTTAGGACAACACCTACATGTTGAATAATTCAAGTATGGCCTTGATTTGTAAATGACTGACTGCCATTACAAGCTTCAAAATTTATTTAAAAATTAAAAAAGTTCATTATTGTCTTCCACAATGGCATAGCTAAAAGCTGAAATATTTTGTCTTGTAGAGGACTTTTGTATTGCTTTTCAATACTTTGATAATTGCCTGTTTTACTAGTTATAAGATTTAAGACAGGTTATATGGCCCGATTTAATGTTAATTGGTTGTTTCCATAGCTGCTTGGGTTATATTGCAAATCGTAAATGGTCATATAACTTTTCAATAATCTTTATAACCACATTATACTTTATTTTTGGAAGTAATGAAAATACATCATAAATTGTCAGCAGTATATATAAATTTTATGAAATAATTAATAATTATGACAATTATCACATGAAAAGTGATATAACAGGAGTATTTAAAAAAAGCAAGCATTATATAGTTAGTGTTTCAAAATGTCCAGCAAAAATTCCTATATTGTATATAATTCTTAGGTTTTGACTTGAAAGAATCCAATTAAACTTTTGCTTTTTCTTTCACCAAAAACAGCCTTATATTATAAAGAAAGCAGCTTTAAATGTGAAAGATTTTTTCAAAATGATAGCAAAATGTAAATAAAATAATAAATTACTGCCAGTTTACTGAATGCCCAAAAGCAGAAGGTGGTTCAATGGTGTGGGCAGTAAGTACTATTCCAGAAACTGTAACACAACACCAAAAATACAAAATATTTTTGAGAAATAAAAAGACAAACAATACTGGAAATAGTATTTATTTGGGGGTTTTATAAGCCTCTAATGTTTGCATTCCATTTACAGGTACGGGAAACAAAGAAAGCATTAAGAGATTCCGAGCGAGAACTGGAAAAAATGTCCATAGGTCATCACATACGTGACAAAGGTCATGAAATTGAGAAACATCGTAACACACGATCGGGACAAATTGACGAAATGCAAAATTATATCAACATTGATGAAAGTATGTCTACTATTTGATATTTGATAGTATTACCTTTTCAACTTTTATTTTAGAGCATGTAAGATGCTTGTTACATGGAGAAAGAAGCACTAAAATCTATATGTAATATTATTTGTCATAAAAAATGAGAAACTTTTTGGTCACTATAAACAAAAATATAAAGCTTTTTAAAAATGAAATTTAAAACATTTTTCATTGCATAATGGGCCTTTAAGTTACTTGTGTGTAGTAAACTTTAAAAAATGCTAGACTGAGCTATAATCTTGTCATTTGCTATTATATTATAGAGGACGTTGAACATTTTGATAGAGAATGGCAGGAAAAGACAAGAACAGCTTTTAAGGGGCCAGACTATGGTGAACGAGGCCGTAGAAGGGACGACTACCTTGATAGGCCAGCAGGACGCAGAGGTGGACGAGAGCTTAGGGACCGACCCAGACGCGAGGACCGTGAGCGTGGAAAACAGCTGGCTCTACCTGAACCAGAACCTCGTTCCTCCAACCGGTCCGAACACTGGGGAAGAACAGCAGAGGCCCGCGGAAGAGATAGAAGTTAAAGGTAAGTTATTTTTATGTCAGAAGGTGACTTAAAGGCACATTTTTCAGTCTTTAGAAAGAGTTACGTCGAGTTTTATAAAGTTAAAATAAGGGTTTAAGAGAATGTTAAATGCATTTCACCTGAAGGAATAGCACTGAAAGGGAAATTATTTGTCATAGGAGTAGCAAAATGTAAACAAAGTAGTATTTTGACTTTCATACAAAATACTATATGAATAAAAAAGTAATACTTGCCAAAGAGCAATTTAAGTATTTTTTTGTTGTTGTTGAAACATTTTAATGGAAAGATCATTAATATACTTGTACTGTCAGATTATGTCCTATTTAATGAATTATCTTAATATTAGAGCTTTATAGTTGAACTCCTTCATTTTTTGATAAAAATTGTCAAGTTCTGACCTGAAATTATGAAAGCAGTTCATGAAATAATTATTGTCCAGAATATGTTTTGTCCGAAATAGTGCAAATTTTAGCAGTATTAAGTGTACAGATTTTTATGTCAAGTTTATCAAATTTGCTATCTCAAAACAGTTTTGAGTAAGCAAATTTAAGTGTAAATGTAATAAAAATCTTACTGTCTGAAGCATTATTGTTTATGTTGTTTTTTTTTACAGAATCAAAGACAAAGACAAAATTTACCCTGCAGCAGCAATGAACTTTGTTACATATTTTATGATTGGAAATATCAATGTTGATTCTTGGACATGGAACAAATTCATTCTTTATGGATCCAGAAGAAATATTTGCCATTTGTGATATGTACATAGTATATTTGTTATCTTTTTTTTAGTTGTTACACTTGAAAGATATATTTTGGAAGTACATGCATGTTTATGACTAATACAGTTTTAAAAGAAACATGTTTTTGATGCCTATATTTTGTTTACTTTATATTGTTAGTACACTTTCTGTCTTTAATGCTTTCTGCCGTCCTCTTTTAATTATAAACTTTAAAAAGTTTCTGTTTTTATACTTTAGAATTTGCTGTATAACAGTATTCTTTTGTGGAAAAGTTTGTTTGCATAATATGACGGTGATTTATTCGTTATATGAAAGAAAATCCAAAGAAGCATAATTTCCATTCCATTTCCAGCAGAATTGAAATTTAGAATTTTATGAGTTAGAAATGAATGAAAAGGTTAATTGTTTATTTGTTTTATTGCATGGAGTTTCATATATTTATAGTTAGGGACCATATTTGACAGATACATTTTAGTCACTTCTAACAAGACCAGCATTGTAATTTTATAAAGAATTCAACAGCTAGGTTTCTTGGTTTGCAGTGTTTTAACCATTTATTTATAGTGTTAACATAATGATAATAGTGTATGTATTCATGTAGTTAAAGGAACTCCACTGAGGTCCAAAAGCCTAAAATTAGTTTGAATTTCTTACATAGATTAGCTTGAATACTTAAACAAATTAGATCATATTTTGTGCTATTCTTAGTCCAAAGTGATTGAAGAGTGTTGCAACAATATTGAATTCATTTTTTTTTTCATTTTTCACAGTAAATATATATTTGGAGAGCGAATGATCTGAAATTTTGCACACAAGTTATTGGTCTTGACTAACAGTAATCCATTAATCTTGAAAAATTGTTTTTAGTCCAGTCATTTAAAAAACTCAGTTGAGTTCCTTTAATGGGTGCTTTTATTTTACCTTAGTGATCATATGGGATAGTGTAATTAACGTGACCAGTAATTGGAAATTAGTGATTTGTAGGAAATTCCAGAAAACTGAGAAAAGGACATACAAAAAAATTATATATAGTTTGTGCCATTAATTTATTTATTCAGTAGCAAATCTAGGAGGTGAATGGAAACATTTATATTTGATATAAAAATTGTATTACTCGCCACAGATTATTTGATTTGTGATAATTTGGCTATTTTATAATTTGATGATGTTAAAGTTTGTTTTTCATTTTGAATGAACACAATAAAACATTCCATCTTATTATATATGCATGAGTGTTGTTCAATTATTTACATTCTTATGTGTCTTATTAAGTGGACCTTTTCCCTTAAACTTCTACATTCTTAAATGGATTAGCATATCTTCCATTTTTGGAACTGTCCAATAAAGCCTGGTCAGCTAGCTGAGATATGCTCTGGCACCGTACGTTTGCTCGATAGGTAGAGCGTTGGATTGTGAATCATTCTGGTTCGATTCCCGGAGGGTGCATGTCACTTTCATTGTGATTCGCACTGTACCTCTGCTCTGGCATGTACTGAAGTTATCTGTTACATGCAAAGTGATGGCAACTAGTACTGATAAACTGCTTGACAGCCTGCCCAGGAACGATGCGTCGGTTTAACTCAATATGGCCTACTGCCGTGATCCACCACAGATGAGCTCCGTACTGGTGGCAACGTCTCACGTCACTTGCGGTTAAAGCAGTGGAAATGTTCGATTTGCCACACGTCTCCTTCCCAACGGAAGGCTCGTTATAGAATACATGTACAAGAAGCTTAAACACAGGTGTCCGTTCGTATTTGAAATAACGCCTTGTATTTTCCTCCACCAGTAAAGCTGAGAAAACCCGTATGGCCATTTAATATGAAGTTCGTGTAATTTAGAAATCGACCAAAAATAAAATTTTTTAATGGAACCCAACTTGTTTTGTGATCATATGAAATTCATGTGAAAATACATGTAACATTTAACATTACAAGGATAATATCCACTTAGATGATAATTTTGAGATTGGATAAATATTTGCATAGTGTGTAAAAGCACAAGTCGTAATGAGAAATAACAGTATAAAGAAATTTCTAAAGATTTCATTATTGTACATGTATGTTATTTAAAGATAAATATATTTACATGTACATTAAATATATGAATACATTGTATTGATTTAATTGATGACATTCCTTAAAACGCTGCTAAAAAGTAGTTATATAGAGTAATTCCCTAAGAAAAAAAATAAAGAAAAAAGTGGGTATGAAAGAAACAAGTTGCCTAGGTTGATGAGCACTCCGGAACTAAAAATTCTATCAATATTTACGATAATATCCAAAATATACCCCATATAGAGTATAAAAAGGAGGTATTTTTTGGATATTATCACTAATAGTGGTTATTTTAAAGAATTTCAAGCTCCTGTGATGAGTACAACCGTTGTACTACATGTACCGATAGGCGTACATATGTATATATATATATATATATATATATATATATATATATATATATATTTCATTTTAATCGGGTGCCGATAGTATTTTTGTTTTTAAGAATCAACGGGAGATAATTTTATGATTATTTGACCATTATTGGCAAGCGCTTGTGCTTGCACTTTAATATAATTAAAAAATAGCAACAAGCAGCCTTGCCAAATTACAGTGACCAAAGATTTCAAAGTTTTTAGCCCAAATGTAAATATAACATTTGTCGGAAAGTTGCGAAAAAGACCGAACTTTCCCGATGATATTATTGATATGTTTTACACTTTTAATGAAAACTGCCAGCTATTGCAAGTTTCCTTTCCTATTTTTTTCTCCATTTCCTCTTTAATGGCCATTCAGCTAGATTAATTTTCTGTGACATTCAACGAAGTTCATTCATACAGACAAACCTGTTTGTATAGGCCTTCTTTACTATTATTATCCAATCCGTCTAGTTAGCTCAGGTGACAGGGTATTTTGATCTACGGACATCGTATTTGTTTGTGCGTGCTGCACTTGTTTTTTGTGAGTACTGCACATTTTGTTTGTGAGTACTGCACTTGCTTTTCGTGACGATTTGATTTACTACACTGTGTTTCCCAGAAACTGTTTAGAATTATCCCGGTATCTATACGGAGAAAATGTCATCTTTTTGCGGACTGGTATAAAATTTAGAAAAAAAATGGTTTTACTTAATCAGTACGCTGCTGTAATATTTGTGTTAAAGGCACATAATGTTTCAGAAATGATTTTTTAACTACAGCAAACGTGAACATATGTATAGAACCACGGCTTTAATGGTGATAAAACGTATACATAAAAGAAAAGTGAGAAATAAAAATACTAGAAGTTTAGGGGACTTACGGATCCGGAGAAAGGGTAATCCCTCGGAAGCATTAATCGTAACAAAAATTACATGAAAATTGCAGACTTTTGACTGAGTCTTTACATAAGGGATAATGAAAAAGTGCAACATCCCTGAGGCCCCGCAGCACCGGCTTGAGCGGTACTCAATTTTCAACTCTCAAAAGTGCTGGAATCAATTATAATTCGCCTTTAAACGGATACTAAACCCATAGAAAATCAAATTATAACTCTGAACATATAATATTACTCAGTTATACTAGAATGTATCAGTAATACAGATGAATATGTCAACATCTCGTCCAGTATGGTTTATCCAGCGCTTTACTCGTCCAATATAATCCCGTATTGTACTGTTCAATGTTAAATATGCTATAATAATAAGATTCATGGATTAGTATTGTGACAAATTGCCTTAATGTTTTACATAACAGACTTTCCTATGTGGTCTTTCTATGGAGGTGGCCTTCTTACACAGATATTACTGTAGAGTCGCAATAATCGATGTGAAAAGTCTTAAGTGTTATTTATATCACAGGAAATGTCATAAATATGAGAATAAATAAGATAATTCGGGACCAGGTGAATATAATACTTCTATTTTATATTAAAACCTGTCAAATATTATATGACCATGCAATTAGATGATTGTGAAATAAAAGTACGGAAGAACGGGTGAAACGAGAAACCCTTTTGTAATCAATCTTAAAACTTAATTACAATTTAAAGAAGTTTATGGACAAAATCTCAGAAGATCATAATAAAGTATACATGTACATGACATCAGTGAGTTTCTATTTGAAAGAACTTGGTGGCATCGATGTAACTTTACATTTTTATTGGTATATACATTTGTGTTTTGATTATGTGTTGCTATTGTATAAGTTTAAAAGCGTTTGTCGATGCAAGGATTACACGAAATCACTGTACCCTGTCTTGCGAGCCTATATAGTTTAACTTGGACCTTTCTTGAGATAACAGGAAGTATACTTGTTAATATACTGTGACACTTGTAGTTTGTATACACCTTGACAACCAAACAATTATTGTCTATGGAAAAAAATATATGAGCCGCATCACGACAAAACCAACATAATGCGTTTGCGACCAGCATTGATCCAGACCAGCCTGCGCATCCGCGCAGTCTGATCAGGATCCATGCTGTTCGCTGTCAGTTTCTCCACTTGTAATAGAGTTGGTAAGCGAACAGCATGGATCCTGATCAGACTGCGCAGGCTGGTCTGGATCCATGCTGGTCGCAAACCCATTATGTTGGTTTTGTCATGGTGCGGCTCATATATATGTGATAGTGTAAAAAACGGTTGCACACCTAAATACGAGTAAATATATTTCCCCATGAAACAATTTAAAAAGAGGAAAATATTCCATGGAGGGTGCAAGGGGGTGGAGTGTCCGCCGGGATGGGATGACAATTGTTCACTGAATGTCTTTCCTCATTATTGGCGACATAAGGTCCCTTTTGGATTATTCTGAATAACTATATTATTTTATGTAGATAGTAGTTTAATGCAGTCAAAAAAACTATATTAGAATTCTTTGTAAACTAGACAATTGGTTTAATAAGAAGAACAGATTTAGGTTTCATCTATCTGACGGCGTAACGTTTTAAACTATGAATAAGTATGAATACTCAAAGCATTTCATTATTATCTATATAAGGGAGTAAAAGGTATCATATGGAATAAGTATGGGTTGAGTGAGTAAACTGAAAAATAGTTACATGAAAATAATAACAACTCACTGTTTACCGCGCAAAAAATAAAACTTAAGATAAACAACTGCTGCTGCTGTTTTCATCATTATCTTAATATGTAATTTTACATTTAGTTTAAGACCTATAAAGCCCCAAAATAATAATTATTTTCATTCCTCAAAAACTTCTTTTTTTCTTCTTCTTCATGTGTGCGTTACAATTTCTGGAAAAAATACTCACTTGGTCGTAAAGCTGAATATATTAGTTTCTTTTGTGTGTGATTTTTTATTCTATTTTATTTATTTTATTTTATTTATTTATTTATTTATTTATTTATTTTTTATTTATTTTTAGTTTGTCATTTCTACAGTTAAAAGAATTAAGTATCTTATATGGAACTAAAATACTAATTTGTTACCGTTTATAATAATATGATATGCGAACGAAAGTACAAATCATAATGAAAACAATGTTTACTGAACTAATTGATCAATAGCTAAGAAAACAGTAACGTGACTATGTATTTTACATCATTATTCATTTCTCCTGTCAATGAAGTGTTCGCCTGAAGTCCAGTTCTGTTTACAAAACTCTAGGATATGTAAATTAGGCATGAACATTTGAAATACTGTCTGTTCAATTTACCCGATTGCCTTGTGCATTATATATAGACCAGCACAGAACTTGATTTACACTGTATGCATTATTTTTTTTTAAATAATTGTTCATTTGTATGCATAAGGAGATCTAATATAATGAAATATAAATATTGAAAAGTATATCAAACTGGAGCGTCCTTGGCCGAGTGGTTAAGTGTATTAACTTCGAAACCACTTGCGCCACACCGCTGTATGTTCGAATCTAGCCAGAGGCTTCGGATTCTTTCATGACAGAAAGGAATCCCGGCAGCTTTTGGAACTTTGGTGGTTATAACAAGTTATCTGATCGTGGCTGAAATACTACATGGACGGGCATCACCAGTAAAACTTGAAAGTTGCCATTTGACCTTTAAAGGCCCATTATGGCCCAGAATATCTTTATCTTTATTTCTCAGAAGCATTTATCTTTGATGTACTTTTATAGTTTCCCAAAAGTTACTCATTTGTCAGTTACCCGAACCATCTTTTTCTGTTACATTTTGGTATTTAATACAGTTATAGTGATTTAGTATTCTGTATGGAATTCCAAATACTACTTTGTTTTCATGCTATTTTTATGACAAATTATTCCACATCTAAGGCTACTTTTAACATACCCTAAATGCATTATTTAAACGTTTTGAAATTAATGTTTGCTCTTTCTATAGAAGTAAGCATTTATTTGTTTCTAAGACATACTGTGTCTTTATAATGTGTTGGTGCGGCGTAAAGATATCGAAACTATTTAAAGATCTCAAATGATCTAAAACAAAAGCAATATATATCAGTAAAATAAATTTCAGATGAAGCCGATTTTTAAAAAAGAGAGATGAAAATATTTTAAAACATGCATTTATGTAAACGTTTATACTGATCAAATATACCATATTTGTCTGTGTTGTATGAAAGATTTCATAAAACAGTTAAAATGCCAATGGTGTTCCTGTATTTAATCAACCATCCGACATATCTTGAGCCAAAAATGAATTTGAACATAATTTATTTTTTAGATTATAAAGGGTTTAACTTAAAATTATCTATAGGCCTAGCCACTTGTTCAAATAGCCCTAAAAGTTTTTTTTTAATTTTCATTCCATTCATTTTTATATTATTGTGATTTTTAAATACATTTTTGTATAACTTTAGTTAGTTGTTCGGATGCAAAAAAGTTGGTAATATCTTTAGGTAATATGAAAAACTGGAAAAGTTTATCTGTGCGTTAAAATAAAGAATTAATGAATGCGGTCAATGGGGTACATATTTATATTTATCTAATTTGTAAATTCTTATACTAATTGCATTTCTACAAAAGGTGTCAAATATCCGTATATATCAATGTCAATGGTTGTTTTAAAAATACATATGTTAAGATATTCAAATATTCGTGGACATAGTGAAGGGTATTTCTAATTAAGTAGTTAAAAAGCAATAATTATAGCTGAGAGCTGTCGATGTATATACAGTGCAAACCTTTTATCTTCTATCAAAGCCATCATGATCATGACCAATTATTCATAAAATGTAACAACTTTGTCAAAATAATGATCACATATGCGCTTCAATGTCATAAAGTCATGTAATGCGCAGACGTGATTAAAAATGGATAGGTATAAAACGTTGCTGACACGCGTTTGTTTGTTAATCGTTGTCATCTCAGTAAAACGTTTGTCGCCAGCAGTAACTGGACTTAAGATAGCTAAAATGAACGCTAAACTTGTGTGTCTTGGACTGCTCCTTCTCGGATCTTGCTTGGTTGCATCAATGCAGATTGGCAGACGTGGAAGCAGAAGAGTTCGTAAGTAAAAACTACATGTTATATTTGTAATATTTGTAAAAATTTAAATAGTTATAAATTTTGCCAAAAACTGTTATGTTCATACTCATGTTGTTTTGCACTATTTTTCCATTATACCCAGAAATCAATATTTTTTTAGGAAGGTCAGATATGTGTTTAATTATATTTTGATAATAAATGTAGCATTGAATGTCTGTAATGTATTGTAAAGGTAGCAAACTGTAAACAAAGTAGTAATTTGAGTGCAAAAGAAGTGAAAAATAATTATTCTATATGGTAAATCAGTATTTTTTTTTGGAAAACCATAATAAGATACAAAAATAAAAAGGTTTAGAGGAAAAAAATCGGGGCTTGACGGGGCTTTATGTGAGAGAAAAATATTTACAATCTTCACTGGCTGAGGCAGGATATATTTGTATCATATGTACTTCGTGTACCAGTTACAATACTATCATGATCATTTCAATAATGTTTTTTTAGTGGAAATAATATTGCCACAACAAAATCAAAAGCCTTAACTACTCAGGTCTCAATCACTTTTGAAAGATAATCGATATAATTTTTAATCCTTTTTGTAAAAGAATGCAAGGAAGCAAAAAATAAAAAAAAAAAACCCATACAGCAACAATAGACTCAAATTGCTCTTATTGTGTTTTATTAACGAATTCAAAAGCTATTTGGAAGATAATTTATGTTACACAATTTCAATTCTAAATAATTAGAAATATAACATTTAGTAGCACACATTTGCTTAATAAGTTGAAACGAGTATTTCAAATTTAGAGGCAGTAGACAAAACGTAGTGAATCTCTTGTTACAAAGAGGTTATTAGGCTCCGTTGTTACAAAATGGCGGTAATTGGGCTCCGTTGTTACAAAAGGGCGGTAATTGGGCTCCGTTGTTACAAGAGGGCGGTAATTGGGCTCCGTTGTTACAAAAGGGCGGTAATTGGGCTCCGTTGTTACAAAAGGGCGGTAATTGGGCTCCGTTGTTACAAAAGGACGGTAATTGGGCTCCGTTGTTACAAAATGGCGGTAATATTGGGCTCCGTTGTTACAAAGGGGCGGTAATTGGGCTCCGTTGTTACAAAAGGGCGGTATTTTGGCTCCGTTGTTACAAAAGGGCGGTAATTGGTCTCCGTTGTTACAAAAGGGCGGTAATTGGGCTCCGTTGTTATAAAATGGCTGTTATTGGGCTAAGTCGTTACAAAAGAACGATTATTTGGCTCTGTTGTTATAAAAGGGCGGTAATTGGGCTCCGTTGTTACAAAGGGTGGTAATTGGGCTCCGCGGCAATTGGGAAACTGTAGTTTACGAGGATTTTTGTTCAGCAGTCCACGGTTAACTGATTGTACATAGAAAAGCTTTTAATTGGAATATACATCAAAAGCTGAAACCAAATTTATGTGCATTTATGTGTTAATGGCTGAAACAAAAAATGCATTAATGTTAATTTGGATGCTGGAATTAATTCGTGTGTCACTTTTCATCATTAATGGGGTGTAATTTATCTACGAGATGTGTCTTCCCTGGTCAAATTATTGCACAGGCGAAAGGTCATTTAATTAATTATAAGAGTGTCAAAGTAATAAGGGAATTTATATAAATAATCTCAAGTGTCATAAAATACAATGACTTTTACACATATCTTCAACAAAAATGTTGTGAAAATATTGTATTCTTTCCATGTTATTATTCATATTTATGCATTTATTATAATTAATTTCATTTATTCGACCAAAAAACTAAAAAATAAATAAATGAAATATGCCAAAAGACAAATAATGCTAAAACATAACGTTAGTTTTCTTTATATGAAGATAAAAAAGTAGTTTTGAAAATGAGCATGAATACAAAGTGATTAGATTATGTTTAGATTTGTATAACTTGAAAATGACACACATATATCCAGAAGTTCAAATGTTTCTAAATTCTTACTGTTTAAAGGGACTCCACTGATGTTTTTTTACATAACGGGACGGAAATAACTTTTTGAGATTAATGTTTCATTTGATCTAAGTATTGACCAATGACACGTTTGCCACATTTTAGATCATTCGCTAACCCGCTTTTCAAGAATAATAATTTTAATTGTGAAAATGACCCAAAATTGAAAAGCGTTTCCCTCAAATCAGATCAAGAATAAGATCAGCATAAATACGATTCTTCAATTTATTTCTGAGTATATTTGCATATTTGTCTGTTTTAGTGCCCCAGCTGATTTATTAATGTAAGACATTCAAATATTATGTATTTTGGCTTTTAGACCTCAGTGGAGTTCCTTTAATTAAAACCCTGAATTACCATACCATTATTATTATTGTTATAATTATTATTGTTATTATGATCATCATAATCATTATCATAACCACCACCACCATCTTCATCATCATCATTATTATTATCATCATTATTAGAAAAATATATTTATTATATATTTGTAGGTTTGATTCATGGTGACTACGATTGCTCGTGCTCGTATTACTGCCCACCATACGGCATCAAAGCAGGCCTGTGTTACGACAATGATTACTGGGGCTGGGGTAGACAAGCACCACAGTACTGCTGCGTCCCCTCATACATCGATTATGACGCCCCAGATTTTGATAACGGTTTCACATCATTTGGACGCAGGAAGTGAACTAAGTGATACAAAATAGTTCGGTAATTAATAATTTGAATGAAAAAAACATTGATCTTATTCTGTAATAATTTCAAATTTACTCAGAAAATCCAAAATTTGAGTTTTACTTGAGTTGAGAAAGAGATGTAACACTTATTATGATTTCAAATTCAAATTTGTAGGTTCATTTTTTTTTTGAACTTACATTACATTATTTTAATAAAAGCCTCTGTGTACATTAATTTTAGGGAGATGAAGCGAAAAAAAGACACGTGGAAACGCATTGTCAAGTCAGATTAATAATATATTACCCTTCAATCAAAATACATGTACTATTTTTGTGTCTACTTCTTTTGTATAATATGTCTTAACACAACGTAACCGTCATATAAAAATTTAATGACTGTCATTTTTTGTTTTTTCTTTCAGATTTGACCTGAAAATTATCCTGCCTTCAACAACATGTCATTATTAACTGACAGATGTTAACATCAATATAAACAACAATTCTTGTTGTGTGAAGATCACCATGCAATCTTGTCAACATATCAAATTAGATGTTTAAATATTGACACGTCACATAACTTGATGGGGAATATTATTTCGTTCATTTCTTTTTTCACCATTCCATAATATTATTTCGTTTAAAATTCCTAGTGACGGTTACTTCCTTATGAGACTTGTACAACTTGACGCTTTTATTGTCACAGGAAATCGTCATAACTCGGAGATCAAATGTTCAATAATTAACATGTTGTTATAGCAATTATTTATTGATTTATTGTTGTCGTCTGTATAACTAACATTATGTTTGTTACTTAAAAATGATAAAAAAAATCTATCCTGTTAAATCATTTTTGAATAAAACATTATTTATTGTATTGAATACAAATTGTTTGGGTTTTTTATTTGACCGCAGCCACTGGGGGTCTGCAGCTCCAAACGCCTTCACTGGGCATATATTTTTTAACATTTTTAATGGCATTTAATAAAGACGGAAAATAGCATAAAATACAAAAAGGCGCTCTTGACCATTTGTTCAGTAAATGCTTACTAATGAACAGATAAAGTTGAGACAAAAATATTTTATGTTGAATATATGAAAGCCGGCGTTCGTAAGATCACTTCCATGCATGGTAGACAATTACAATTATTTACCCTTTGTACAGTTTGTTCCTACTTCATAAAGAAAATTAGTCCATTTAGTAAAGTCGGGTAATTGCGATAACATTTTAAATCTCCGGTAAAGTAAATAAGTTGTTTTTTGAGGATGGAGATGCCAAGAAGTCTACTGTCAATAACTGCACGCCGAGCAGCGCTCGAATATTCTTGTTGCTGAAAGATAATAATAAACATGTGCAGAAATGTTTCACCAAAGTTCACTATTAGGTATGATTCAGTAATGATCCATGCTTGTGAAGGGGGTTGGTATGTGACCTAAAATAATATCATTGATAATGTTTCATTTAAGCAACTTTTTAGGGTTAAACATTAACGCTGCTTTAAGTATGGATGCAAATTCAGTCATTAACACAGCTTCAGTCATATAGAGGCAGCTAATTGACGAACGTTTAGCCATGAACGAACACAGAGTTTAATTATTTATCTTGAGCACAGGTTGAAACAAGAACGCTGGTTGAATCATGGACGCAGGTTAAATAATGATCATAGCTTCAATAATGAACGCAGCTTGAGCGAATATTTGATAATGAACGCAGCTTTAGTCATAAACACAGTTTTAATCAAGAACGCAGCTTCAGTCATGAACGCAGTTTTAATTAAGAACGCACCTTTAATCACGATCGCAGATTCCTTTTGGCCACTTTTAAGTGTTGAAAATTGAGTACCGCTCAAGCCGGTGCTATTGGGCGTAAGGGATTATTAAATTCTGGAAACAAAGTGATCCCTCGGAAGCATTAATCACAACAAAATAACATAAGAATTGCAGACTCGGTTTGATTGAGTCTGTACATGAGGGATAATGAATAAGTGCAACATCCCTCACGCCCCCTAGCACCGGCTTGAGCGGTACTCAATTCTCAACACTTTATAGTGTTGGTATCAATGATCCCGAAGGACCAGAAAATATAACAACACTGAAGTGAAGTACGGGGCAACTTTTTACGGCTGCCACACGGCACTTGACACCTGCTGTTGTGAAGTACAAAATTCTGGAAACAAAGTGATCCCTCGGAAGCATTAATCACAACAAAATAACATAAGAATTGCAGACTCGGTTTGATTGAGTCTGTACATGAGGGATAATGAATAAGTGCAACATCCCTCACGCCCCCTAGCACCGGCTTGAGCGGTACTCAATTCTCAACACTTTATAGTGTTGGTATCAATGATCCCGAAGGACCAGAAAATATAACAACACTGAAGTGAAGTACGGGGCAACTTTTTACGGCTGCCACACGGCACTTGACACCTGCTGTTGTGAAGTACAAAATTCTGGAAACAAAGTGATCCCTCGGAAGCATTAATCACAACAAAATAACATAAGAATTGCAGACTCGGTTTGATTGAGTCTGTACATGAGGGATAATGAATAAGTGCAACATCCCTCACGCCCCCTAGCACCGGCTTGAGCGGTACTCAATTCTCAACACTTTATAGTGTTGGTATCAATGATCCCGAAGGACCAGAAAATATAACAACACTGAAGTGAAGTACGGGGCAACTTTTTACGGCTGCCACACGGCACTTGACACCTGCTGTTGTGAAGTACAAAATTCTGGAAACAAAGTGATCCCTCGGAAGCATTAATCACAACAAAATAACATAAGAATTGCAGACTCGGTTTGATTGAGTCTGTACATGAGGGATAATGAATAAGTGCAACATCCCTCACGCCCCCTAGCACCGGCTTGAGCGGTACTCAATTCTCAACACTTTATAGTGTTGGTATCAATGATCCCGAAGGACCAGAAAATATAACAACACTGAAGTGAAGTACGGGGCAACTTTTTACGGCTGCCACACGGCACTTGACACCTTAAGATGTTGCACTTAGTCATTATCCCCCATGTACAGAATCAATCAAACGGAGTCTGCAATTTTAATGTAATTTTGTCGTGATAATGCTTCCGAGGGATAACCTTTCTTCCAGATTTTTATACCTTCCATCATGAAAGAACCTTATGAACATAGGTTTAACCATAAAGAAGTTTTCTTTTATCATGAATGCTTGTTATGAACGGAGCTTTAATAATTAATGGACATATCTTTAATCGGTTTTATTGAAACTGTTTACGAGTGCAACATCTCCACGCCCAGCACCGGCTTGAGCAGTTAGCCATACTTACATCTAATTTAACTTAAACTATAAAAAGAGACTATATGTAAGTCTGGTACAAAATCCAATTCCAAAAAGATGATTTCATGCGAGTCCTCCATAACATTTCAGAATATTCACAATCATGTACCTCCAGGTGACTTCCGCCATTTTAGTGTTGCATTTAGTCGTTGCTAGAGGACTTGTGACACAGTATGTTTTCTATTATTTCTCTTGAACGGACTGAATAAAACCGAGCCTACAAATTAAATCAGTGTAGAAAGTTTTTTTAATGAGTACTTGACAATAGTTTGACTTCGTTAACTTGCCCATCTGGAGATTATTTAACACAGAAGAAATCAAAGGCCTGCAAGCGCTGTGGTATTTTCTGATCTTTGATGTATATCTGTATGAATTTTCCTGCATCAGTCTATTTTATATACTATGATTCATCTTACAGGGCACAGAGATGCAGCGACTGCGTTTTTAAAAGTAACAGTTACAGAATTTTACATGACTAGAGTGGCATCAAAAAATCATTTATGTTCATTTTTTATGACAGCCACACTTTATCCTTGTATATCGTGGCTACTTCCTTAAAAATGACACTTAAAAAAGTTGCCTCGCCTGGGATTTGAACACCAGATCTCTCACACACTAAATGAGCGCTTTATTCCTTCGCCAGGGGGAAGTTTTACGAAGAAGGCCTGAATAAAATCATATTATTCTAAATTTAGAATTTTTATTTCGGGTTTGTAATCCTTATTAATTTCGAGCTATTTTGTTCACGATAAACCTGTTCTTTAACACTGATGTACGTACATCTTCTCGCCAAAACAGTCCGACATGTATATATTCCACTAGTCGAAAGTCAGATTTATGTGTACTACGCTCTGAAGTATTCGGTAATCGACATAGCTAAAAATAGCATTTTCATTGATTATAATGATATTCATCCGCGTAATTTGTGATTGTGCATTTATTGACAATTCTATAAGCCAACGCTATTTTTGCGACGGACGCGCCCTCAGGCGCGTTCAGAGGTAAGTCATCTACACATGGGATTTCGTTGGCTACACTCGCGCAATGTGTCCTAAACCAAGTCCAAGAAATAGTACATGAATTTGATCCTTCAAAACTCCCATACTTTGTCTGGATATCTTAATGTCTTCCATATTTAGCCTTTTCAATTTCAAATTAAGTTATCCAAGTTAAAATATGAACGTATATTATTGATAAAAACGTTGTAGTCCCGTAGTATTATTGCGCAATATGCAAATTACTGCTGAAACGATTTACCGCTGTCGAAAAAGTAGGACAGCAAATTATACTACAATAAAGGTGTAACCTCTGAGTTCCAAGACATTATTAGTAGGAAATAAATATTTCTACATTATAACAAAACATTATTATTAACAAATCAAAAGTTTTTTCGTGACTCTAGGATAACTCGCGCATTAATAAAAGAAGAAAACTATTTTCGTGACTCATACCGCGGTTTAGCTGAATATTCAGCAGTTATTGATATATTAGATACAGTACAATGGCTAGTATAAATATCTATTTTTGAAAATGCATGTAAGACACTTTACCGCCATGTAGTCTTTCATGGTAAGGAAGTTATAATATCAGTTCTACTTCCGATTCTTGTGGTTTGTTTACATATTTTACTAGGTCATAATATGAGTTAACCTTCGCTATTCTAAAAATAGATTCTGCTTCACCTGTTCTGATATTTGGACAGGCGATTAGGAAGAACACATTAAACATGTAATTAATAAACCAGCGGATTGTAATGCAATACTTTTAGAAATGCTATACAATTGTAAGAAGCAAACAAGTTGAAAATGGAATTTAGTGTGAAGTTGAAAAGGACAACTAAACACTGTAGTGCTTAAGTGACCTTTAAATTAAAATAAAAACGATGTGCTCTGGCCTCTACATCTTTACCTTGTAAATAAAAAATCTAAGAATTACACTATTAATTGCTGATGATTTTAACCATTTTTGTTTTTAATGAGACATATCCAAGAGAAATAAAAATACAAATGACTTATATTTTATTGTCTGTATGCCCACTATGATATAACACGAAGCAATTCTAAATAGCATTCTCAAATGTATAATGTATTATGTTTGAAGTTTATTTGCCTGGATTTATTCTAGAAATATTTCGTTGATAGTTTTTTTTTCTATTTACATATCATTTCTTAGAATAAATCGATAAGGACACTGATTTACAAGTTTGACCAGAGTTTTTAGGCATACATTTCATTCTGTATTTAAGTGCTTGAAAGTAGAAAATCTGAATAATATCAATTTGGGACACAAAATATATTGCTCTACAAATCTCGAACTTGTATGGAACAAATTTTCTCTGTTATATATTTTTTGTTTTGTTTTTGTTTTTGTTTTTTTTTTCTAAAAGAAGCCTTAATTAATGTCTCTCCGGTTGCATGTCCGTCGCATTCAGTGCTGCAGCACTTTGATTAAACTTTGAATGCGTTGTAATTTGTTGGAAACTTGTAACAAAATAAGAATATTTCTTTCTTTTACATCGCTAGTTTTAAGCTGTTTTGAGAACTACTTGTTGTTAGGTTTGTCGTGAAATTTTG